AAGCACAAGCATGCCTTCATCTTTCAGCACTTCAGCTAGGAAAGCAGTAAGCAACGTAGCTTCCTGTTGAACTTGGCACTTTATTTTCTTCTTCACTCTAATTACAGATTTATTTTCTTATATTGTTTTGTGTAAGGAATGTCAGGATTTGTACTGCGTTCTAAGCACTATGTAGTATTTCAACTTACAGTCCTTTTAGTTAAAATCTGTACAAAAGGATGCTTTTATATGAAAGCCTTATTGTATCATTTTGTTCTAGCTTTTTTTTCTCTTATGTTTTTTGAACAATAAGATTCAAGTAATTTGAAAGATGCCCTTTTGCTTGTTCTAACTTTCGGGCTTTTGTATATACTTACTAGAAATTAGGAAAAGTGCTTTACTTGTTTATCATATAAACCATCCTGAAAAGAACAATGTTTATTTTACATGCAGATCAGTAGGGATAACATTAAACTTTAACTGAATCATGTGACCTTGGAACAGTGAAAGTTAAAGAAACACCCCTAACCCTTCTGTGTATCTGAAACGGTCTCACTTGGAAGGACCATGCTTCCCCTCATGACTTAGATAGGACTCATGGATGCTTCCTAGTGTACCTATGACAAGGCCAGGCACAGACTCTCCAGATTCCCATATTTTTGCCTTCTAAGTGATTAGCTAAACTACTTGTCCAGCTGATCAGCCTGAACAAGATGCTCATTAACCAAACTTTGGTTAAGATCCCTCAGGCCCCCAGACATTAACATACCCTCAGCCTGAAGCAACATGCAACCTTTCTTAGAGCCTCTTCCAGGCTCTAATGGAGGCCTCAGGAAAAAACATTTCCTGATCTACTGTCTACTATTCTTTAGTCCCATACCCTCACCCATTGTAGCTTTATTTACTCCTCATAAAAGAAAAACCCTTCTCTGCTCACCTTTGAAATGCTTCAAGATCTCACGGTTGGAACTCTCTCCCTATGGAAGAGCCCTCTCCCTCCAGTTACAGTAGTCCCTTGCCCTCTCTTGCAATATTTTTTCCTAATAAAGTCTTTCTTTACCAAGGTCCAGAGTTATTGTTTTAATTGATTGATTGATTAACGGATCGATTTTTAATTTACATATGGTTGGAATACAATATTATATTAGTGATATTAATTTCAGGTGTACAATATAATGATTCAACATTTTTATACCTTACAATGTAATCACTCCATTTATTCCAGTAATTATGTCAGAGTTGTTTTTATTTGACATCTGCCGATAATTGTTAGTTGATAGCATTATATTCAGCCAGTTCCCTAAGTATGGTGGAATAAATAAGGTAACTAATATATCTACAGCAAAGTATTATCAAAAGATTTAACATGTAATTACTGTGCCAATGATGAATTCATTGTCTTTCAGCTCCAAATTTACTCTTGTTTACCTTACTTTGCAGTAATGGAGCTGGGATATGCAAACTCTTGCCAGCGGGCAGAATGCTATGATTCATCAGTAGAGGGCACTGGAGTGACTCTGCAAAGTGACAGCTGTAGGAAAAGGCTTTCATTCCAGGTTCAAGGTCTCCATTCTTATTATTGAGCCTAAGACTCCAAACACCTGCACAGACAAGCTCCAGCTGCACCCTCAGGCCATGTTCTCCCTACCAGCAGCCCTTCTAGAAGCTGATTGTTTCTACAAACTATTGTCAGCGCTAGCCCTCTGACAAGTTTCCTCACTGCTGCGCAAGCTGTGCTTCCCTGTGGCAGCCATATATTCTCTTTGCAGAAGTCTGCATCTCAGCATTGGCTGGGCTATGTGTCTCAGGGATCTTAGTTCCTTTTCATTCCTCATCATTTTTCTTCCTCATCCTAGGGAGGAAGAAACCTATTTGAGCAGTAGCTGCCCTTTCTCACCTACTCTTTTTAGATCCCTTTAAAACTCCCTTATTACTTTTAGCAGTTAACCATGTGTTACTACTTAACAATTCTTCATACTGAAATTTCTTTTCTTTTTTTCAAATAAATAGTGTAGTTTCTGTCTCCTAACTGCCTTGACTGACATCATGAGTGAGTAATACATTTTTCTACAGGTATTCTTGTCCTCAGTTTTCAAGTGGACACTAGTCTTAACTTTTCCTCCAGTCTTACTCGTCTTATAAAATATACCCCTTGAATAAATCCTATGCCCAGTCATTCAGTCTAGAAATCTGTGAGCCATCCTGACACCACCTTCTTTCTCTCCTCCTAAATTCAGTCCACCGTCAAATCCTATAGATTCTGACTCCAAATGTATTCCAAATTGTATACTTTTTCCAAACTCTGCTTTATTCTACCATCTTACATTATTAATAAGTTCTTAAGTGGTTCTCCTTCGGATATTGCTTCTCAATCTGCTTACATGATGCAGGCAGACTGATCTTTCAGGATGCAAATTGAATCATGCTATCTACCTGATTAAAATATTTCAGTGGTTTACCATCACACTTATGATAGATTAAAATCCACTAATATAGCCTATAAGCTATTGTCACAATCTAACTATTAATTACTTCTTCCCTCATACAACACTTAACAAAACACTGCCCTCTTTCTTTCTTCTTCTTCTTCTTTTTTGGTTTTTTTTTGGTTTGTTTAAAAATAACATTTTTAATTCCAAGGAAAAATCATACACAATGTTATCTTTTGGAGACATTTACTGTGTCACCGACATTCACAGTGTGTTTGAAACAATACACATAACTCAGACTAAGTGACAACAGTGGAGAGCTCAGCCATGCTAACAATGACAGTCAAACAACGCTGCCTTGGCTGGTCTTCGGAAACTGTAAAGCACCATTCATTGTTAAGATACATTAGAATGATAAAGAACAATAAAATGTAAAAAATATGTTTTAAAAAAATGTATTGATTGATTTTAGAGAGAGGAAGGAGGAGAGAGAGTCAGAAAGAGAGAGGGATTTGTTGTTCCACTTATTTATGTATTCATTGGTTGATTCTTATATGTGCCCTGAACAGCAGATCAAACCCATAACCTTGGCTTATGGGGATGAAGTTCTAACCAACTAAACTACCGGCCAGGGTCAAATAATATGTTTTAAAATTGATAAAATACTATATATCATAATAGTTTGTGTTATTATTTATTTAACATCTGCCCTGTGGCTAGACTGAAAACAATGCGGCTTTTGTGAACAATTTCATTTCTAGTGCCTAAAGCATTTTCAGTCATTTAGTCTGTGTCCATAAATATCATTCTGACAAATAAATACATTCAGTATCTCTAAGGACTTAGTGATAAGATTCAAGGTATTTTTTTAAAGGAACAGAAAATGATTATTTTTAGCCAACACGATTATCCATGACTCTGTGTCTGACCTTGAAAAACAGAGGAGACCTAAGTAGGTGCCACAAAGCCAGCAATTAGAGAACCAAGAAAAGAGAGTTTTTTAGTTTCCCTGTAGTTTGCCTCAAAGGGTACAGTGTATGGGCTTGGTACACACTGGTTTTGGGGGGACCTATTTCCTCAATGAAGTCTACAGGCTGTGACTTTAAACCTTAGAGACCAGGTGTGCGTCACATGGGTGCAGAGCATTTGAGCATGAGGGTTTTGCCTTATAATTTTAGTGTTGAACATTAATCGGTATATTAAATCAGTAGCCAAAATCATTGTACCATTTAATCGTGCCATTAGTTGTGCTCAGGACCAAAGGAGAAACACTGTAAAGTAGGTAACTTACTGTATTTATGTGGCCTGCCATCAGCTAGACGGCCACCCCTACCTCCCCTCTAATACATGGTTTCACATCACGTCTGATTTAGTAATTATATAAGCCCTGACCATGGATGTTGCCTCCAGGAGCCAGTCAGCATATTCAATCTCACAGGAGTTGTAAATACTTATTAATGAGTAGGTAAATAGGAAGGGCTCCCTATTTCTATGGAAATATTGCTTCCGTTTGAAAGGAGTAGAAGAACTTTGCATGAGATTAGCCCACATCCCAAGGTCAAAGTCAGTAAAGAAAGCTTGCATGTGGGGGGTTTTATTGCAGGGAATCTGTTGGCACCAAAAGAGTATAAGAACTTTGAAAACTAGAGAAATTTCAAGATGTTAAAAGGATAAAGCTCCAGATGCTATTTTAAGTCTAGGAACAGCGGCAAGCACACTGGGGAAGTGTCAGAGAGTATAGAAGGAACATACTTAAAAGGGAGCAAGGTCATTGAAGCCAAATTAGATCTATATGATCTATATGACAGGCTAAAAATATAGATTTATTTATTCATTTAAAAATGCTTTCTTAAGCACTTTCAATACATCAAAGGGAAAAAAAAGAAGACAAAAACCCCTGCCCTTTATAGAGCTCATGTTCTAGCAGATTTACTGGGAACTTACTGCTTTTAAAATGGTATTCTAAGGGCAGCAATATGTGAGTTATCACTAGGTTGGCTTGAGTCAGAGAAACCTAACAGAAACAGAGAGGCGTGGCCTGATGGAATGACCTGGAATGACGGCCTAGAGAAAAACTGCACCCAAGGAAGTGCTGAGAGGTTCCCTGTTAAGCTGCAGGCATGAAGTCAATAATTAAGGCACTCGGGCTTATCACTTATTGAGGAATGGGACACACTACCATGGCAAGAGAAAGGAATTAGGAGATATCTGAAAGGAGACCGAGAAGATAATGTTGACATACCTTATTTTTAGATTAGTTTCAATATGATGACACCCTTAAACAGCACACCAGGGAAATTTACATAAGTAGTACTCGAAGGAAAGACCTAAGAACATAAAATATAATAAAAGGAAAGTGGGCAGCATATTAACAGATGAAAGCTAATCCTGGGTTAGTTAAGCATTTAATACTAACGATAACTTAAAAAATAATATCTTCACTCAAAAGCAAAGAGTGAGGATAAAAAAAGAAAGTACACTTAGGAGAGAAGATGAAAATCTGCCGAACCTGCCTAAAAGAAGAAACAGCAGAAGAAAACAGAACACTAAGGAGATATTTCAATAAATCAGAAAAGAGAGTTGGCAAACAAAATGCCTGCCCCTCTTAAAGTGCTAGAAGCTATCAAGGTATGGAAAATGGAAAATTTGTTGAAATAACTATTTTTGATGTAGGTTTATGGTCCTTTTCAGAATTCCAAGGCACATGTTTCAGAAGGATCAAATGTACTTTCAAGTGAAGATTCTGCTGAGGGTAATTTTCCATCGGGGAAAACGTACAGCGAGAAGAAACTTTTCTTTAGTAGGCAGGTTTCACGAGGTCAGCAGTTTGCAGAGAGAGAAGCAATGGTAAGCGGGTTAAAGTGCCAGAAGGGAAAGCCGGGAATTTTTCATGTAAGACCCAGACTATGGGCAACGTCACTGCAGATATCCACAGTTTACATGAAGATGGTTCGTTATAAACGTTAATTGTGAAAGAATTGGTTGATCTTTCCCGTTTCCTCACCTCCTGATATAAAGTACACTTGGTGACATAATTAACCACTCGTTTCATCCATTAATATTAAACCTTTAGATTGTATGCACCGTCAGCCTGCCCAGGCTAACTGGCACCCTGCTGAAGTGAAACCAAGAAGGTTTTTCCTTTATTCATAGTATCCTGATGTTCTGAATATTCCTTCAATAGGAACTTTTGGCAACTTTAGTACGGAGTACAGGCAACACAAAGAATGTAATATCACTTACAGATACTTGGGAATTTCTTGTATTCTCTAAATTTGGTGAGTATAGGTGTGGTATAGCCATGGTATGTCTTTGTAGTTATTAAAAGATTCTTTAGATACAACAGTACATACCACAACAACAATAATAATTGTAATGATAATTTTTAGTGTGTGCCAGGCTCTGTTGTTTTAAGATCTTTATTTAAAATGTAAAATATAAATGGATTAGGGTTTAATGAATTCAACTTTAAAGCCTAAAAGAACTTTTTTTATTCCTAAGAAAACTAATTGAGAGAATAATTACCTGGGATTCCAAGCGACTCCTCCGGCAGACTGTGACCAGAGAAAGAACTTGAGGATGGTAATTGTGGGATTTATTTCTTGAAATTTTAATAATTTTGAAATGGAATTAAATTTTGGACTTTAATTTTTTTCCTGGATCTTTTGATAAAGAGGAGAGAAACGAATCGTATTAAAATGTCAGTCATTTAAATACTTGTGTTCTTTGAGGTGTATTTCTGCCATCATTGGACTGATGAACAAATTTTAAGTACGTTACATCAGTTTTTGTGACACGGTATATACTTAGGTAAGGATTATTCTAGGAAGCAGTTTTAGTTTTTATATATTATTTGCATACGAGAGTAGTGAGGACTTGAAATTAATTTTTCATAGTATTTTTTTCTTAATCTAATATTTTCTTTAGGCAAAAGCTAACCCCACATCCAGTAGTCCCAGGATGATAGCTAAAGATGCATGTGTTTGGTATAGGGTAATTTGATTAGGAAGTGAGAGTAGAACTAACCTGAGAGAATAATGGCCTCCTCCATCCAGGGGCACAGCCGCATTCCAGTTTTAATTATTAAGGGTTAATTGTTAAGGCCCATTAAGTTAAAGAGAATAAAATCTGGGGAGTGATAAAGTGTAACTTATTTCCCTATCAAACTATTACCTGGGGAAGTCATTTATTCCAGTCCTCAGAAGAGAAAAGGATTGTGAAGTTAACTTTTGCTCTTCTTTTCGCTTCCCAAGTCTTCCCCTTGCTCATTACTGGAAACAATTTAAGAGAAAACAAATTGGTCACCATGATAACTTTTGTTAGGAATTGAGTTTCATTTACTAGTGTTTTGAGCATTGGCAATTTTGATGTATTATGTTGTGGTTTTTGTAAATTTTTATGGATCTCTATTTATTTCAGTTTATTTTTAAATTGACCCCAATTTTGTACTTTTTTCTAATTGATTTTAAGTCAATTATACGTACACTATTTGTAACATAGGAAAAAACCTGGTTCAAATTTAATACCAAACAGTTTAAGATTTCAGTTGGAAAACCCAAAATATCTATCTCTAGTATACCAGGTGAAGCAACATTAATAATAGTCTCTTGGGTAGAATACTTTATTTTTTATTTATTATTATTTTTTAAATTTTTACTTATTTTATTATTATTTATTTGGGTGGAAAATTTTAAAGTTTCCAAAACTGATAAAAGGCTTAAGTATATCCTAAATAAATAAAACTTACTTAAGTGTTGAGTAGAATTTGGAAATTTAAACATCAAAGTTTTGCAAGTGGTGGTATCTGGATACATGACAGTATCTGGGTACATGCGATTTTTCTATGACTTTTTTCACTTATTTATATCTTAATTATTCAGAATTAAGTATTGCATTCATGAAAAGGAAAACTTAGACTTAACCTAAAAACAAAATTTACTATAAAGGGTACATAAGTTGGTTTGGGGGGACCTTGGTGATTTATACTTCAAAATTACAATTCATTATGAACCAATGATTTCCCTTCTGTTGATTTCACTGTGTTTTCATTTTATGCTTAGGCGTGAAAACCATTTAGTATGTTCCAATTACTTCCCTCTTGTTAGACATTTAATTTTACCCCCCAATTAAACCCATATTTATTGGATATTGAAGCTGTGTCAAATTATTTTCAGTTAACTCACCGGGCAATTGCAATGCATAGCTCTTTAATTGAAACTAAACATTTTAAATGAATTAAAATCCAATTAAGTATAGCTTAAAATCTATCTATGCTTATATCTTAACTCTGCCAAATGCCATTTTATTTTTCTATTATTTTTATTTCATTTTAGGGACTTATGCCTAAGGGTCACTGATTATAAATATTGATTATAATAATTATTATTATAATAATTATCACTAAATCAATTGATCTTTTCTAAAAACACTTGAATTTTTTCTAGTATTTAATACTGCCGAAATATTCTTGTAACTCTCTATCTTACTTTGATATAGTCCTACAATATTATGCTTATTATTCAATATATCTAGTACAGTGATTTTCATCTAGTGTGCTGCAAGAATTTTTAAAACATGCAATACCTGACTATTCAGTAAGCGACACTGACCTCTTTTCCTTTAGATTGCCAAATTAAAAAACTAACAACAGGCAACACAACAGAAGCCATCCAGTGAGAATGGATCAAAATCATACCTATTTTTTTGTCAGATTAACAAAAAAGTGTTTTTGGTGTGTTACAGAATTTTAGTAATTAGTTTATGTGTACCATGAAATGAAAAAGGTTGAAAATCACTGCTCTAGTGTATCTTAGGCAATTGTTATTTTCTTCTCTTGCATCCACCACTTCTCTTTGTTCTACATTCTTATTTCCCCTTTTTCTCTCTTTTTCTACCTGATGTTCCCTTCTTTATTTTTTATTCTGATCATCTATTCTTCCATTTTTACTTTCTCTTCCCTTTTCCTGATTATCTGTTTTCTTCTTTATTTTTCCTTCTATTATCCATTTTTTTCCTCCTCATGCTTTTGTGTTTTTCCCTTCTAAATAAAGGCAATCCTGTAATTGCTAATCTTAAGTCTGTGCAGATTTCCTCCGTACTACTGAATTTCTAAGTGTGGTCCAAGGATGACTTTTGAGGGGAGGGTGTCTTCCCTTTCCTAACTACCCATTTGTGTGAGGTCAGATTTCCTGCATATACTGCAACCAAAACAGCACATCACAACTGATTTCACATCTGCTAGATAGTTATCCCAATCCTTGAAATCTGTGAATGTTTTGCCTCCAGTGGATTAATTTAAGGATTTGGAGATGGGGAGATTATTCAAGTGGCTCCAATGTACTCACAAGTATCCTTATACGAGGGAGTCAGGAGAGCCAGAGTTGAAGAAGATGTGAGGATGGGCTCATAGACCAAAGTGGTTTGGCCGAGAGTTGAGGACTTCTGACCACAAGACATATGACCACCCATTTCAGATTCCTGACCACTAGAACAATAATTTAATACATTTTTATTATTTTAAGTCACTAAGTTTGTACTCATTTGTTACAATAGCTATTGGAAACCAACATGGGATCTGTGGTTGAGGAGCTTTAAAGATTGTAGATTCCAACCCTTCAGAGAGTAGGAGTGTTTCAGATATGGAAGGGGAATTGGACATTATTACTCTTATTATTATTTTTATTACTTTATTTTTTGCCCTAATGATTTGAGATATCATCTTTATCACATATCTGTTTCATATACACTTGAGTCTCTTTCTGGGTCTTCCATTTAATTACACTAGTCTCTTTTTTTAAAATTTGTATTTCAGTACCACATTGTTGTAATTGTAGAGGTCTTACGGCATGCTTTAATTTCAGGCAGGGCTAGTCACCTCTTCTAGGTTTTTTAAAAAAATATTTTCCTGGCTATTTTTGCATGCTTTTCTTTCCATGTGAACTTTAGGACAACTTTTTTTAACTCTATAAATTATTTTTAAGAGTTCCGCAGATGACTTTGGAAATTAGTAAATTTTAATAACTGCTGGCAAAGAGAACAGGTTGGAATTTAAAGGGTGGGAATACTCTGACAGTTTAGAGAAAGGTCACCTGAATCTGAGGCAGTTACAAATTCAAATTATCATTAAATAATTATTTGTAATCCACATGATGATAACTGCTTTTAAAATATACTTTAGGACAATTACTTTAGGATTTTTTTTAATTTTAATAATCTATACTGAAATTTAGCAGCCACACCTGTAGTAATTGCCCAGCTTGATATGTGAGAAAAATACAAAAATTTATCCTTTTCAGTAAACTATTCAGAGTAATTTTCCATAACCACAATCTTTTTTTCTTTCATATCTTCAATTTTTAAAGGACTATTGATTCATAATGATAAGTTGAAAATGTTAGCTTATTTAACTTGCATGAGCGAGGAAACCACGGCAGATAGAAAATGATTATATTTTATTTTTGAAGAGTTTTAAAAAGCATGGTCTTTGGGGTTAAAAGGCATATTATTGAAAATATAAATCTCATGTTAAAAAGTCCCCATTGGCTTCCCATCACATTCAGAAATATTCCAAATTTCTCAATATGGCCTGTGTTTGGGCCCTTGGTTATCACTCTGATCTCATCTTCCATACCTTTTCTGTGGTACCAACTTCCTGTGAACCTCAAAGCCTCCTTGCCTTCCTCAAGAATATTGGTCATGACATGTCCTCAGGCTCCTCATGTTTATTTTTCCAGCTACCCATTATTCTTTCAGTTTACTTTTCTCTTCATTGATATCTCTGCTCAAATATTAATTTCTTAGATAGTCATTTTTCTGAGTGTTGTATAGAAAAATGGATGATAAAAATCCCAGTGTTGAGGAAGGGAGACCAGTTAGAAGACTGTCATATGTTCAGGGAGATTACCGTGGCTGTTCCATACAGATGTGTACATACACTGATGATGACTATAAATTGGCCTAACCAATTTGGAAAACTGGCAACAGTATTTACTAAAGCTGAATACACATGCATGATAGGACTCAGCCATTCCACTTTTAATTACTTACCCAAGAAAAATGAATATATTTGAACATAAAAACATATTTACAGGAATGCTAATAGCTTTATACATAAGTGCTTTCAAGCTGGAAATAACCCAACAATCCATCAATGGAAAGAATTAATTAATTGTGGTATATTTCCAAAACAGAACTTCAGAATACAGTTGTATTTCATTTTTCCATTTTGGAATGAAATGAAATAATGAGATACCATAACACATACCAACATGGATAAATCTTATAATGTTGAGCGAAAAGAACTAGTTACCTGTGTCCATATTGTATGACTAAAGTTATATTCACTTCAAGAACAAACCAAAAAGTATAGAATAATCATTACCTCTGGAGATATATTGAGTGCGTGGGGCATGAGGCAGCCTACTGAGGTGCTGGAAATGTTCTATATCTTAATTTGAATGTATTTATAGATATTTATGCAAAATTCATATAGATTTTTTATTTTATATAGAATTTATATTTATATAGATTTATATATAATTTACACATATGTATAAATTATTGATGCTGTCAACTTGATTTATATACTTTACCATATAAAAATGACAACTCATTTAAAAAATTAAATTAAAAATATTATTTGGACTTGATTCACTGTGAGTTTGATGACATGGTGCAATTCAGGATATTTTCTGGAGATAAGGTTAACAATATGTGGTGAAGGGAGAATCTGTAAGAGAAAAAGAGCCCTTAAAGATGATTACATTGATTTTGGAATTTCATGAGCTGAGATGTGGAAGATTTAGAGCATTGAAGGAGATTCAAGAACTTCATCATCTTTGCTTGTTAATAGGTATATCTGTTAAACACACACATATATGAAAGCACAATATATAAATTGATATAAACAGCTATAAATAAAATGCTATATGTGTTAAAAGAAAAAGAAATACATATACTCTTTACCTAAATAGTTATTTTTCTCTGACTCATAATTTGCAAATGAAGTTATTAACAATAAAATGAAGCAAATAACATTAAACTGTTAGGCTAGTTTCAAGATGAAAGTATCTTATGAGTCTTACAGTGCTTTGTTACTGGGAACTCTTTACAGGATAAATGTCTAATTTAACTTTCTTCTTACAAAAGCATATCCTATATCTGTGTGGTCCAATAAGCAGCGACTAAATGCATGTGTCTATTGAATACTTGGAATGTGGCTAGAGCAACAAAACAATTTAATTTTATTTAACTTTAATATAAATTTTAGTGTAAAGAGCCACATGTGGCCACTGACTATTGGACATATTGTCATTATTAGTACCTGAATAAATAGCTGATTCATATTTCTTTGTTAAAATGAAAGCACACTATCTAAGGTACAGGGAGTATATTTGTCTCTATAAAGTTAACCAACTACTTATTTGGCTCATTACTAGCTGAGCACTGTATAGATATGCTTGCTCGAAAGCTTTCACAATAACCATTCACAATAACCATTTAACTACTACTACATACTGTACCTCTTCATCTAGTTGAACTTCAGAAATTCATACAACAAGATAACTCTTTGTTAACCAATGTGAGTCTCAAGCAACCAATACCAGCCTGTTCTCTAGTAATGATACAAAGATGAAACTATCCCTTCATAAACAATAAAATACTGGGTTCGCCGAAAGGTCTGTTTAGTTTTTTTCTGTACGATGGCTCTTGTAGTTGCTTAGTTGTCTTGAACTTCATTCAAAACAGTTTTGTTAGATTGTATTGTGACAGATGTCATACCAGCATTCATTTAAAAAAACATGAAAATTGGCAAATTTTTGTGCAACCATTTTAATAATGAAGATGGAAGAAAATAAGCAACATTTTAAGCATATTATAAGTTATTATTTCAAGAAAGGTAAAAACACAACAAAAGATTTGTGCTGTGTATGAAGGAGGTGCTATGACTGATCAAACTTGTCAAAAGTGGCTTAAAACTTTTGTTCTGGAGGTTTCTTGCTGGATGATGCTCCAAGGTCGGGTAGACCAGTTGATGTTGATAGTGATCAAATTGAGCCATTAAATGAGAACAATCAATGCTTTACCACATGGAAGATAGCCGACATACTCAAAACATCCAAATCAATGAAGTTATTGGTGAAAATTAGGCGCAGAGAGCGGGCAGGAACAACCAGGAGAGAGAACGACCACGGCCAAGGAGCGGGGCTACGCCAGCCACAATGGTCCTGATCACTGGCATGAGCTTTACCCAATTGCCAAGGGAGACAACCAGTCGCCCATCGAGCTGCATACTAAGGACATTAAGTACGATCCTTCTCTGCTGCCATGGTCTGCTTCTTATGACCCTGGCTCTTGCAAGACCATCCTGAACTATGGGAAGACCTGCAGGGTTGTGTTTGATGATACTTTTGATCGTTCGAAGCTGAGGGGTGGTCCTCTCAGTGGACCCTACCGGCTCCGCCAGTTCCACCTGCACTGGGGCTCCTCTGATGATCACCGTTCTGAGCACACTGTGGATGGAGTCAAGTATGCAGCGGAGCTGCATTTGGTTCACTGGAATCCAAAGTACAACACGTTTGCAGAAGCTCTGAGGCAACCTGATGGAACAGCCGTGGTTGGCATTTTTCTGAAGATAGGACATGAGAAGGGTGAGTTCCAGCTGATTCTTGATGCACTGGACAAAATTAAGACAAAGGGCAAGGAGGCGCACTTCACGAACTTTGACCCATCCTGCCTGTTCCCTGCCTGCCGTGACTACTGGACCTACCATGGCTCCTTTATCACGCCGCCCTGTGACGAATGCATCGTATGGCTACTGCTCAAGGAGCCCATAACTGTGAGCTCCGACCAGATGGCCAAGTTGCGCAGCCTCCTGTCCAGCTCTGAGAACGAGCCCCCAGTGCCACTGGTGAGGAACTGGCGCCCCTGACAGCCCATCAAGGGCAGGGTGGTGAGAGCCTCCTTCAAATGAGCACTCCCAGGAAGGGAAAACTGCCTGGGAGAGCTTGGTTCCTGGCCCACTTTCAGTGCTACTTACTCCAAGTATATTTCAGCTTCCACATTAAGCAATAAATGAGAGAAATATAATCACCAAAAAACTAAAGTTACTGATGACAGGATTAACTAGGAAAGCATGTGGCTTTTGTAATAATCACCTTTCTTATAAAGTAGCATTCACAGTAAGGTTTCAAAGAAGGTGAAACAGAGAAGAGTAGATACAGAAAAAGGGCTATTGGGCACCATTTCTGTTTTATCACAAATTTCACAGAACTTCAATTTTACTATTTTCATATTATGCATTGTCCATATTAATGAAATAGTGATTAATGCTATATGTAGGTATAGAGGTGTATGTAAGTCATCAGCAATTAAATATAAACAGAGATAAAATGACCATGGACACCAAGGATTGAGATAATAATATGTTTTAACTCTTAGATAAAACCAACAAGAGGTCCATGATGTATTAAAAATCTAGCTCTTACAAAGATGACCTGGTTTTAATTATCAATGAAAAGAAAATGCATTTGACCAGGAGTTTTAAAAAAACATTAGCTAGTGTTTGAATTTTTCCTTCCTAAAGATGATTGACTTTATCCTAATATTTTCCTTTACCTGAAGGAGGGCCATTTATTCTTAATTTTACTACTTTGATATTTGCATGCTTTTTAAAATAAAACTTCCTCTGCTATCTTTCTAATTTGAGAGTGGGATGAACAGTTCCTGGCACATGCAGGGGCGAATGCCTGAATTCAAAGTAAGGCAGGTGGGCTAATCATCCAGACTAATAAAGACATGAATGCAGAAAAACAAAAAAAAGTTATTGGTGAAAATTTAAAAAAATGTTTTTTATTTTATGGTAAAAACATATGGAGGACTTTTGGCCAGCCCAACATAATAGACCTCATCTTTGATTTGTCCCTGTAAAAATATGTATCTTCCCTTAATTTTCAAACATTCCCAGTTCAATTCCTAAATCCATGTGTAAGATGTCCTCCCTGATCATCCTCGTAAGGGTCTTAACACATATATATTATTGTGTTTCTTGGTAGGTGAAAATTTGCTTAGAGGAATAAACACTTTTCTAGCTATGCAATCATTTTTATGCCATTAATTAACTGTGCATCCCAAATAAATTATTTACTATCTGAAGGTTATAGTTTATTTATTTACATAATGGGATATATCTTTAAAGCTTACCTTACCTGCAACACATCATCAATAATTCATAAACTTGACATAAAAAATATGCTTTATCATTAAAGAGCTATATGAAAAATGAGAAAAAAAACTTCAATAATAGCTAAGTTCACACTGCCTACTGGAAATCTTGTATTTAGTTACTGCTAATTTTGGGGCTTGGAGGAAATTTTAGGTCTCAAGTTTATAGTCCATTGAGCTTAAAGTTAATCACAGACTATTCAGGATTTAAGTGCTATATTTACGGAACTAGCAATTCTCTTTGGAAAACATACTTCAATTGGGTTTGCCACACATGACAATCAGATAATTTTGTCTAAAATGGGAGAGAAAAACCTGTTTAAATCTACCTAATTTCTTTAATACACCTGAATATACATTGAGACAAAATTATTTAGACATCAATATAAAAAAGAAGGGAGCATTTATATATTTCATATTTGTCACTATATTAGAAATAATGCCATCATTGGTACTCTCTTTCCATGTTTGTCAATATATATGTATTTATGTATGTGTATATATATTCCAGTCTGTCCAGAAAAAAGTCTAGCTTTTGTTAATATAAGGAGAATGGTTTCCATGACAACAATGTAACCTGGCAGACAAGGAGAGTGGACTGGAATGAGCCTGTGTGAACAATGATGACTTTACTGTACTATTTGCTGGGAGTGGTAGGCACTGTTGAATGAGCATGTGTATTGTGTGGTCACTGCATTCAAATGTGACTGAGAGAGTAGAGCAATGAATCTGCGTCAAACTTGGCATTAAGCTTGAATATTCCTTTACAAAACTATTTGGATAATTCAGAAGACCACAGCTATGGTCAACTGGTGATTGGCAGCTTCATCATGACAACATTCTTACTCATGTATCATGTCTCATGCAGATGTTTTTTGTTTGTTTGTTTGTTTGTGTTTTTTTTTGTAAAACATCAAATTACCCAGGTGACTTAGCCACCCTATGGGCCAGGTTTGGCTCCCTGTAACTTCTGGCTTTTCCAAAACCTAAAATTACCTTTGAAAGAAAAAAGATTTCAGACCACTGATGAAATTTAGAAAAATACAATAGGGTAGCTGATGGCAATTGGGAGAACTGTGTGAGTAGGCCAAGGCGCCTACTCAAGGGAACTGAGGAGTCATTGTCCTATGTATGTTTCTTGTATCTTGTATCTTCTTCAATAAATGTCTCTATTTTTCATATTACATGGCTGGATACCTTCTGGACAGATTAAACACAAACACATACATGCACACACACACATATATATATGTGCATATATATACTCATACATATAGCATACCTGGAAGGATAGATACAATGATGACAATGATGTGTGTGTATGTGTGTGTATAGAAATAGTCCCCAAATTACAATGTGTTAATTTATGATTTTTTCTGCTAATTTATGGTTTTTAAACTTTACAATGGTATAAAATCAATATGCATTCATAAAACATATAGTTCAAATTTTTATCTTTTCCAGGTCTAGTGATATGTGGCTTTATACTCTTTACTGGTGTTGGACAGCTGCAGCAAGCCACAGCCCCCAGTCTGTACAATCATGCAGGTAAATACTGATACTCTACAGTGTACTGTTTTTCCAGTACTTTTTTTTTTGGATATTTTGTTTTGTATTTTTACACCTCATCATGTCTACAAAATGCTCATATGTGTGCCAGTGTGTTTTTAGCTGTGTATATTAATTGCAAGGACAACTCTACATTGATTGTGAGTACAACTGATTATGTCCAACTTTAGGACATTTCTGAGTACATTTAAGGTAGACTAGCTTAAGCTATGATGTTTGGTAAGTTAGATGTGTTAAATGAATTTTCCACTTATAATGAGTTTATCCGGATGTAACCACACCATCTGTCAAGGAACGTCTATCCATCCACCTATTCTCCGATACATAATATATGGCCTAGAGGGTCATATATATATTCATCCTTATAACATTGGAATGATTTCAAATAGTTGCAGATTTCTGATTTATAGAAACTTTTAGACTATAAGTTATCATTCTGGCCTTAAGTGATAGTTGAGCCTTATAAAATAAAAATATTAAACTTTAACATTTTAATTGTAATTATAAAACAACTCAAAATTATATTAACCAGTTTGTTACCCTGAGGTAACATATAAAGATTACTTCACATTGATACTAGAAAATTTTCTTACAAAACATTAAAATTTCAAAATATCTATAAGGCTTGGTTCATATCTGCAAAATAATTTTCCACTAGAGGTTGTATACCTATGCCTAACACAGTTAACATTACCATAATTGCACTAACATAACTGAGATCCTTCTAGTTATATAATTCTATGAAATACCAATCATCTCTGTTTAAGAGAAGAATCTGAGGGTTTCTTTAGCCATATGATACTGAACAATATGAGCTCTTGATGAAATAAGCACTTCCGTTCTTTTGTTATTATATACATTTATATTAAAGAGTTGTGTACAGAACTCCTTGCATCTTGCAACAGTTGGAGGTGATTTGAAAACAATCTATTAGCGTTGTCAAGAGAACCAAGTTGAGAGAGGGGACATGGGAAATTATGAGGAATTGGGTCATGTGATTATGCATGCTGAGAATTCCCACAATCTACCACCTGTAAGCTAGAGGCCAAGGAAAGTCAGTGGTATAATTCATTCTGAGTCTCAAGGTCTGAAAATAGCGGGAGCTGAACTCTGTAAGTCCCTGTCCAAGGGCAGGGTAGATGAGATGTCCTAACTCAACAGTGATCAGAAAAATGGACAATTCCTCTTTCCTCCACTGCTTGTTCTATTCAGGCCTTCAATGAATTGGATTATGCCCACCCACACTGAGGAAGGCAACCTGCATCATTGAGTCTATAGACTCAAATGTTCTTCTCATTCAGAACCAGTCTCACAGACACACCAGATATGTTTTACCGAGGTCCCTCATGGCCAGTCAAGTTAACACATAAAATTAACCACCACAGGTGAATATGGTAATAATTGGAGGAATTGTACCACTTTATATTTGTAATCAGAACATACAAAATGAAGGAATCATGTGATTTCTATACTATTAATGTAGCTTTGTTCTGACTCCAGCTAAAAGAGAGTAAGCAGCTTTCCATTTGCTGTGTTGCACAAGTATTGTTTAATCTGGACTCTTTGTAAGGAGAGTGAAATGAAAGATATTGAAAAAGACCAGTCCTAAACCTGGGCATCAGTTAAACAATCTATTCACAAAATATACTACTAAGTGGAAAAGAGAAGGCCAGTTCTTAACTCATCTGGTCTCTATCTCTTTTCTCCTTTGCAGAGAATTAGACAGCACCTTCTATAAATTGCTGAGGAATAGAGATAACTCTTGGTAATTTAAATGGACCCAGTGGTTGTTTCTCCAGAGTAATTCAGTTAAAGTTGCCCTGTGTTGATCATCAATGAAACAATTTCTCTTTCCTCTTAGTTTCATTCTGTATGGAGAATTAAATGGGAAGACATTACATTTCAGATCATTTTTACAAAGCCAAAATTTTCTGGACAATGTTTAAACATTGTGAAGATTATGAAAGTAAAGATTATTCATTTAGACAGTATTCTCAATTTAACAATAGCTCATTTCTAGTATTTAATTACATCATGTTCCAAATGATATCCAGTACAATAGGAAAGCTTTCCCAATCACTGTTTTGAATATTTCATCTAATTAGAGAACAGACCTTTTATGTTGTGAATATAATATAATGTTGTAGGATATAATTTCTATTTATTATTTGGATAAAGATGAAAGAATGATTAAGAAAGAAATGTTCAAATAAACATTTAAAATAATGTGAAACAGGTTATATTAAAAAACAATGGTAAATTTTGTAGTTTTACCAGTCTTTTTTAAAAAAAGATTTTATTTATTTATTCTAATAAAGAGGGGAA